AGTTTTACAATCGAATATTTGTTTCTTTCTCCCTTCAGTTCCACCAACTTTGCCTTAGTACCTGAAGCACACGGTTCAGGACTCGTGCAGCAACTGAGGGTCGGAGCGCCCAGCTCCCTTCCGGTGAGAGTTGTGTGGTATCTCCCCTGCCTGTTCCTACTTTCACTTTTTCTCCATCCTTGCCCTTTTTAGATCTGTCTTCTGTGACCTGTATAGAGTTGGGGTTTGTCTTTGATCTGTCAACTTCTTTTAATTACAAAAGCTCATCTTTTCCATTTATTGTAATTGATCTATACTTGCAAACCCAACAGCTTTCTCAAGCAGAAACATGGAGCTCCTCTGTCCTTTCCTTCCATTTTTTTGGATTGCTAAGTTTTAGTACTCTGCTTTCCCATCTATTATGTGAGAACTTAAACAATCTTATGACTTTTTTTTTTTTAGGAAGGTCTACTTTTCTGGGCTCCCTACTTAATGGGGAGCCTGCTTCTCCCTCACCCTTTACCCTCCCCATTCATGCTCTCTCTCTTGCTTATTCTATCTCAAATAAATCAATAAAATCTTAAAAAAAAGACTACTTGCTTGAAAATTCACATTGTTAACAGAGGAAAAGAACAAATTATTATTATTTAAGGCACTTTTAAAAAAATATTGCCTAAATTTGCAGACTTGAAGAGGTGAAAACCTTTGCGCAGCAAGTGCACCCAGGAGGCAGGAGGGTTTGGCTCTCCTTTGCCTGGATCTGGTTGTTATTGTTGGGGTCGATTCCACGTTAAAACATGTTAAACCCCTAGGGCCTGCCTGGGCCTACTTAGCCATAGTGACTCCATGTTGCCTAGGTAGACATTTTGTTGTTTAATAAATGCCTCAGCAGTTATTGATATCAGTTCCAGGTAACTGTTACTAAAACACGTACCTAAAACAAGGCCATTTTGTTGTTTAATAAACGCCTCAACAGTTACTAGTATCGGTTCCAGGTAACCGTTGCTAAAACACACAGGTAGGAGACATCCAATCAGCCAAAGCCACGTATGTAGATGCCTGCGATTGTGCCCTATAAAACTAGCCTGTAAGACCAAGGGGCATCGCTCTCTTAGGAGGCGGCCCTGGCCGGTCAGCCTGACTTCTAATGCTTGGCATAGAATAAGGCTTTGCATAACTTTGTCTCAGTCTCGTTCCTTTGATAACGGACCCAACATTATTAAGTGACCCAGCGAGAGCAGAACGCATCCTGTGCAATCATATTAAAGTCCTGTGAGAATCCCATGGGAAGATGAAGATCTGTTATTATGACAGGTTTTTATCCCTTGTGTGCAAGGTCAGACACTACAGAGACTTTAGGTCCCTCCTCAAGTTCAGATTTACTTCTGATCTGCAGGGCTGCCTCCCTTGGCCAGGACTCTACGTTCATCTTTAAGTGATGTGTCCACCACTGTGACCTTGTAGTGATTTTCCAAGACCTTGGAACAGGGGTTTTTGTCTTATCTGAGTTGTGTATTAATTTGATTTCTATCATTTTCCAGGATGATGTGAGCAGCCTGGGTCCTCTGACTCCATGTCTGCTTTCCTGCCATGAAGTGTGTCACCTGCCGTGCTCACGGCTTTCTGCATCTACTTAATCTTTTCATGGCTTTTCCTTCTGGACTTTTATCACCCAGCACCCTGTTTCTGCCTGATGAACACAACCTGTGGCAGAATCTCTCGGGGTGCTTCCTGAAGGGGACTCCTACTGGGTAACAGAATCCTGTGTCTGTCACCACCCACCGCCTTCTGGCACCCATGGTCCCCACGAGAAGCCAGCTCCCATGTCACCATTGTGCCTTTCCTGGAGCTGGCTTCTGTTTGCTTTCAGGGACTTCGGTTTTCAGACATTTTACCATAAAACGCCTGTCATGGATTGAATGTGTGTGTTCCCGAATTCCTATGCTCCAAGCTGATCCTCAAGGTGATGGTGTTAGGAGGTGTGGCCTTGGTGGTGATTAGGATCAGAGGAGGTCACGTGGGTGGAGCTCCTGAAATGGGACTGGTTCCATCGGTGACTGTCTTCTGTCCCCTTGCTGTCAGGGGAGGATACAAGACAGCCAAGACAGCAGTCGGCAGGAGACCCACCTGGGGACCTGATCACGCTGCCATTCTGATCACAGAGCTCCAGCCTCCAGAACCGTGAGGAACACGTGTCTGTTGTCCACAAGCTGCCCAGCCTACAGTGTGTCCTTCCAGCAGCCTGAATGGACAAAGACCATGCCCGAGTGCTATTTTCTTCCTATTAGCTTGCGTAGAGTTCGTGGGGTGTGCTGGAGAGAAGCCTGGATGTCTGCTGCCATTATCTTTTCAAATGTTACTTCTGCTCCATTTTCTTCCCCCTCCGCCTCATATTCCAAACACGCATGTGCTGGGACTTCTTACAACTTCTCAAGTGCCTTTACTCTTCCTTCCGTGTTTTCCTTCTCTTTAACTCCTTGTGATTTAGCCTGAATGTTTCCTCTGACAATTTCTGCTTTGCTAATACTTTCTTCAACTGTGTCTAATCTGTAGATGTATCTATCCAGTGAGATTTTTCTTTTGTTTGTTATATTTTTCATCCTAAATTGCCCAATTCTTTTTTATTCTTCTAAATCTTTCTCAAAATCTTGTTTTAGATGTGCTTAAACACAGTAAGCAGAGATCTTATAATATCTATGTCTGATAACTTTGTCACCTGGAGTCACTGCGGGTCTTGTCCCTTCCCCACCAAGTGCCCAGTCATTTTCAGCTGAGTGCTAGACATTGTGTATAAGAGAAGATGGGTATAACCCGAGGCCCAGTAAGATACCTTCTACCAGAGCAGATTTACATTTGATTCTGATAGGTGGTTAGGGATATCAGCAATATGGCATCACCTTAATCTATTTATAGACAGTGACGTTATTCGAAGCTTGGCATTGGTCTCTATAAGGACATGTCGACTAAGTGACTCAGCGTCTCACACACACCCTCCTTCCTGCCCCCAGGAACCACCCTGGGGAGGGTTCAGTGGCTGTGATGGGCACAGGACTCTGAGGGTTGGGACCATGCTGACGACAGCAGGAAGAACCGTGTCCTTGTGGCAGGGCTCTTGCGAGTCTGCAAAGTGTAGGACACATCATCTCATACAATACTTGTGACAACTCTTGTTATCCCATTTTCCAGAGCAGTAAATCCAAGTGGTCATGTGACTTGTCCCAGAGCATCAACCTGTAGGTTGGAGGATACTTGGCTACAAAGTGCAACCAGGCTCCTTTACGAAGCTGGGCTCAGCCACGCCTAGAAAGCCAGTCTCACTCCTTTCTAAAACACCAATTCTCCCTTGCAGCAAAGGGGCTGCGGTCACATGGCTCAGTGTCCCCATCTGTAAAGTGGGGGCAGTGACAGGAGCCACTTGAGGGTCAGAGGAGTGGATGCCTTTTAGGAGGGGCCCAGGTACCATTCGAAAATGTTAGGACAAGGAAATTTGGGTTTGAAAGTAAGAAGAACAAGGGCCCATCAGGTGACCTTAGATAGAGCAGGGCTGGTTGGGTGGGCTGTAGAGATGCTGCCCACCTCTCATACACACAGGGGTGCGGCCCCACAGCACCAGGCCGCTGGACTCACGGGATGGCCTGAGCCTGGGACATGGACTTGCTGTCTCCCCTTTCGACACTTGGGTGTGGATGGGCCAGGCTGGTGTGGGCTGGAGGGCCCTTGACTGAGGACCGTCTAACTGCAGTCACCTTCAGAGCGTCAGGGGAGAAACTGAGTCAGAAACTGCATCATTAACAGCCTAATGAAAGGCGTCGTGATGCTTCAACTAGTGCCTCTTATATGAGGCCTCCGCGGACTTTCAGGACCTCTGCCCTCTGCTCACAGGCCCCTGGCTTCCGCATTACAGTCAGGGAGATGAGCGTTGACACAGCCGGCACTGGCCATCGGCCCCTGGCCCTGCGCCTGGAGGACCCCACCACGGGCCGCGTCCTGGGGCCGCCCCCCGCCCGCCTGGACAGCTGCCTTCTCACGGGAACGGGGCTGGTCATCACCCCTGCGAGAGAATGGAGCCTGCGACCGTCTGTCTTAAGGTCTTCAGCACCCACACGGGGAGGCCTGGAACTTGGTTTCGAGGCGCGGCCCAGGTCAACACACCATGAGGGCACTTGACGTCCTTCTCCGGCGGATCAGCTCATCACCAGCGGGCAAAGCCACCCACCAGAGTCACGGCTTTCTCTTACCTACCATAAACCGCCTCTACTTTGTTTACAAACAAGATGAAACAAAACACGGCCACTGTTTTCCCAAAGCGGTTCCTTGGCACACCTGCCTTACAAGATGTTCCATGACGAGGGTTCCCTGACCAGCAGGCTTGGGAAACTTGCAGTCTGCCCCCCGCCGCCCCCCGGCCCCCGGCAGCTCCCAGAGCACGTTAATTACGTGAGGCTCTGGGTAAATCCACAGAAAGGAATCTGATCGACTTGCTTTAACCCTTGCTTCCAGGGCTCTTTTCCGAGGGGATGCCGGGGATGCCGCGGAGGAGCGGCTTCGAGAGGCGCGTTCTCAGTTGCTGACGACGGCACGCGCGTCACGGTAATGCTGGTGGCCCCCGGGGCCCCCTGGCACCCGAGAGGGTTTCAACACTTGGGCTGATCCCCAGGCGCTGAGCAGCTGGGACCTGTCGTAAGGGCCACGCTGGCTGGTGCTCCACCCTGGCTGGTGCTCCCCTGCTCACCTGCCAGCCCCAGGCCCGAGGCCCAAGCTGCAGGTGGGAGAGACCCAGAATTTCAGGCGCCCAGTGAGGAACGGGAGGGAACAAGTAAGACTGTCTGGAGGGCGAGCGCCGTGCATTCCCGCGGGCGTGGGGCCCCTGCGCCCGACCTTCAGGCAGACGTCCCTCAGGAAGGGGGCAGGTCAGAGGGTCCCCTGGGGCTGGCACAGCCCGCTGAGATGTCCCACTCCTGGGGAGCCTCTGCGGAGGGAGGGAGGATGCGCCCCAAGCTCCGTGTGAAGTCCCATCTTACCTTGTGCGCGGAGCGGGCAGACGAGGGCTGGGCCACCAGCAGGCGCACCACGGCGTCCCATCGCTCGGCCGTCTGGCGGTCCCACGCGGTCACAGTGAACGCCACCTGCTCAGAGGGGATCCACAGCTCCCGGGTGGCAAAGACCGTCCCATCTGCCTCGACTTGGAAGTCCGTGCTGTTGGTCTCGTACTGTGTCCCTCTGGTCCCCAAACAGCGGATGAACGCGACTGCAAGTGGGAAGGGAGACAGGGTCAGGACCTGGCCGGCGAGCGGAGGAGACACGGGTGCTCGCGTGCTTGCCGTTAAGCCACAGGTTCTTGGTCTCCCAAGGAGCAACGTGGGGAAAATAATGAGTAACTGATTTTTTGACCTTCAGGTATTGGGTTTCATCTCTCCTGCTCGGGGAATTAGCTGTCGGCCGTCGCAGGACATAAAACTGCAAAGGGTGCGTCCTTCTCCATTCTAGCCGGCAGCCGGCTGCGCTCCGTCCCCGCACACCCACCTCTCCGACCTTATCCCCGAGTCTGTGAGTGGCCCGGCGGGTCTGCCTGCCTGAGAACGGCCCCCCCAGCCGCCCCCCAGCCCTGGCAAACCCCAAGCTGCCAGCTCGCTCGCTCACTCGCTTGTCCGCCACAGATGTGTGTTTCCACCCCAAGAAGGAGCCGGGAGGGCGGTGTTCTCACTGGGGCTCCAATCTGCTGTGTTCTTGGTGCTTCTTATCACCCAGCGACCCAACCTGACCCCCTGGGTCAGGGCAGGTGGGGCAGGACCTGGGGGCAGTCAGGGGCTTTAGGACCTGGACGCGGGGCAGTGGGGGCCGCGGGTTTCCCGATACCCCGGCGCACAGCTTTGCTCCCCACGCAGGAATTAGGCACCGCATCAATAGGCCCTGCTGAGGACTCTGTCGAACCAAGATGCCGGGAAGGACCCCTCGGAAGCCGCGCGTTGACCGGGACCACATCAGTGCGTTTCCTACCCAAGTGTGCGTGCAGCTGTCGTCAATGCCGCGCTAAAAGTGGGGGGGTCCGGCAGCCGGTGTCACGTTCCCTGAGAGAAACGGTGGAGGAAGTTACCTGGTATTTGTAGAAGGGTGGGTCTCTTGGCACGTGCAGGGGGAGGACTGGTTTTTAAAGCAAAGTCACTGTCACAGCTTCTATGATTTAATTCCTATTTATTCCAGAAACTAAAAAAAGCACGTCGATGTTACATCTGATAAAGTGTTTCTCCCTGTGTTCACCTTTCGTTGTCGTCTTGAAATAATAAATGAGGCGCATGGGCCTGGATCTCACCTACTTCACGCACACGTCTCCCGCTGCCAGCGCCTCCCACGCCTGGGCTTGTTGTAAAAATGTTTCCAAGCGTGAGGACGCCAGGCGCCTCTGCCCCGTCCAATCCGAGAGGACAGGAGTGTGGACCGCTGGGCTCACAGTCCTGGCCCTCGGACGCTGACGGCACCTGGGGCTTGGGGGGGTAGTGGCTCCAGGAAAGCACCCCCATGAGGGAATAACTGCGTTTCCTTTCAAGTGACTAGAAAATCCCACACCACTCTCCCACCATCACGCGCCCCGACAGCAAATTAAAATCAGCAACGAACTGAGCGGATCAGTCATTCCCGACGCCCAACTGTCATGACAGAGATAAACACGATGGGTCCATGAATGTTGGGAGATGAGCCCCACGTACAAGAACAAGCTCCTTGTTGTCTACGTGTGAATTTCTAGGAGCGCGAACGGCCTCGGGCAGCGGCGTGAGGACTTAGACGTCGACACTGCTGTATTTAAACCGAAGTCACAGGGTTTGGGTGACGTCTAGGGAAGCAAAGATGTGGCCCCAGTGGGAAATCTGGAGCCCTGTCTGCCGGGACCCTTTAGACGGCGCACGTCCCTGGAGGTGGGGGAGACCCTCAAGGACGCGAATATGGCGCCATCGAAAGCGCCGGGACGTGCGGCCCACAGCAGTCAGGCCTGCGGGATGAAACCGGTGCTTCCCCACACGCGTGTGCACAAGATCTTCATGGGCTTTAAAGGTCGACGTCTTTCCAGCCCGTCTGTCAGGGACCGGCCGGTCTCGCCAGAGCAGGGCTGCGGGTCGGGGGGAGGCCGCCTCTTCCCCTGGGGGCCCTTTTGGGCACGTGGAGGAGCATGGCCGTAGCCGCTGGGCACCTGGCTCGCTCCCTCGGAGGGGCCGCCTGATAACACGGTGCTCACGTGGGAACGAGTGCAGACGGGCACCGGGCCCTGCCGCCTGGACCCCTGGCACCCCACCACGCAGGCCCAGGCGCCGCATTGGGCTTCTGCCTGCTGATCTCAGAGTTCTGGAAAGCCAGCTCCACGTGGCCCAGAGTACCGACTTGTCCTGTCCACCCTTAGGGCCACGGTGCCGCCGCCGGGCACCACATGCCTTCCAGCTCCTGTGTAGACCAGGCCAGCCCCAGGTCGGAGCGCGGCCGCCACCCTGCGTGGGTTTCTAGACTGGCTCGGGACAGGACTCGGGGCGCCCAAGCTTTGGAACCATGGTCTGCGTGACGGCAGGTGTGGTCAGGACTCTGGGTTTCTAGCCCGGTCGGCCCTGCTCACTGGGAAGCAGCCGGACCCCAGGGCGGAAGCAGCCCCTCTCCCTGGTCCTCGCAGGGCCACACTGCGTTCTGTCTGGAATTCTCTCTTTCTGTGTCTTGCTCGTGCCCACTTGGACTGCCAAGTGTGCGAGGACAGGGCTGCTGTCCTGGCCTCCTGCCGCGTCTCTGGGGCGGAGAAGACGCATCTGGTCCAGCTGAATGTAAGGGGTCCCCGTGGGAAAGCGCCCCCCACGCCGCTGCTGCGTCAGCACCCCAGGCCGCGAGGGTGAGCCTCCCAGTGTTAACACATTCTGTCAATAGTTCCCTCGATGTATTTGTTTTTGATCTCATTTCTCCCTTAGTTTTCAGAAAAAAATTCAAGTCCCATGAGGTTCTGGAAGAAACGTTTCCCTCAGTGTTTCAGAGAAACCGGCATATGCAGAGAAGCTCCAGCTCTGATTAAAGTCAGGTCGTGCGTCCATCCTGCTTCCGCCCCGGGCTCTCCGGGAACGGGCGCCGGCGCTCTGCTGGGCACAGCTGGCCAGCGCGTCCCCATTCTGCGCATGAGGAGACTGATTCCCGGAGACACTCTGCACCTTCCTGAAGCTGGCAAGAGCCGGAGGCAGGGTGCGGCAGGCTTCCCGGAACCACGCCGGGCTGGCAGGGGGACCCTCCTTGGTTTTTTTTTAAGATTTTATTTATTTATTTGAGAGAGAAAGAGAGAGAGAGGGAGGGAAACACGAGTGGGAGAGGCAGAGGGAGAAGAAGACAATCCCAAGCAGATTCTGTGCGGGGGGGCCCGAGGGGGGGCTCGATCTCAGCACCCTGATATCATGACCTGAGCTGAAACAAGGAGTCAGACGCTCAGCCGAGTGTGCCCCCATTGGCCCCCTGGGAGACTCCCATGTCCGGCTCTGTGCGCACCTCGGTTCTCCAGAGGACACTTTGTGCCTTGTTTGGAGAAACCGGCCCTGGTCGGTACCTGCGCCTGGTCAACAACCCCGCAGTGCCCCGGCCCTCCTGGACGGTGGCCCCAGCCCCACCCATAGGGAAAGGCCCCCCACTTCCCGGGATCCCCCAAAGGCGACCTGCCTGGGAGCTCCTCTGTGTCCTGGGCCATGACGCAGGATAGCCATGCTCCTGCTGCCCGCGGCTCTCTGTGGATTGCTAATTACTTCCATCAGTTTTAAACAAACTTGACAAGAGACAGGAGTCCTGAGAGACATGAAATCCAATCATTTAAGTACACACCGCCATGGCCCCACTGCCTCTGGTCCCTCGGCGGTGGCGTGGGGAGGCCGGGGAGGAGGCCCGTGGGCAGCTCCTGTCTGTCCGCTCGAGGATCGGCCCCGGGAGGGTGGGGAGGCCAGCACCTGGCCGTGCCTGGTGCTGCAAACGCTGGGGACCACGGATGTCAACACACGGTCCTGGCCACGGGCGCCATGGGGCAGGTGTGCGCTGCAGCCATGCCCACACTGGCCCAGGCCCCTTTGGGGCACGGCTTGAACCCAGGTCTGTGCTTGACAAGCAGGGGCCTCTCCAAGCTTCTCTCCCTGTCCTTGCTGTGGCCAAAACGAGCCTTGCCCGGCGTGGGACAGACGGGTAAACGCTTGCTTGTCAGACACTGGACGGGATGCACATGACCCTTTTGACTGAGGAGACAGGCCTAGGGGAGCAAAGGCTCTTGGCCAAGATCATACAGGGTCATGCATTCCACAAACATCTGGGGTCCTCCTGGTGCCTGGCCCTGGGGTCTCCCGGGGAGTAACAGACTGGAGGCTCATCTGGGAGGTGAATGGAGGGAGACAACGAGGTGGCTTGAGCCCTAGACGCTTCCATGGGGTCAGCAAGGAAGGGGGCCCAGACCCGGCTGGAGGTCCCCAGGGGCAGGGATGGGAGCCTGGCAGGATGAGTGGGGTCAGCCGGCACTCAGGATTCTGACCCTGTGGGATCCTGTCTCCGCCCCCTGGGGGCCCCATCCCCCCTCCCAGCTCCAAGCGTAGGAGCAGCAGCCCTTGGAGTCTGGCTGTGGATGCTGGGCAGGCCCTGGACAGCACAGATTTGATTTTCAAGCCCATGTTCTGTTCTAGGAAGATGCCCAGAGAAGAAGGTAGGCCACTCTGCCCACTGCCCACTGGTGTCCACCCTGTTCCTGAAGCGCACACAGACACGGCGGCGTCCGCCTCAGCGGCTGCAAAGGCCCGTCAGGACACACCAGTGGAACGCGAGTGCCGGGAGAGCCCCGGCTGGACCCGGGGAGGCTGAGCTACTCAGCGTGCAAAGGAGTTCAGCATTTCACTTCTGCGGCCGGCCCCCGCTGCCCCCGCCCCTCGCCAGGAGGTCCGTCAAGCCGAGTGGAGCCTGGTGGGCGTTCCCGGCCGGTCGTGCTCCGGCTGGGACGCGCTGGTGCGGTAAGCGGCAGGCGTGCCCCCGGCCACCTCCTGTCATGCATGCGGGTCTCCTCTGTGCTGGATGCACGTTGGCCTCCGCTGTCCGGGCGTACTGGCCGAGGACCACTCGGGGGCCTATTTGGTTGGACTTTCCCAGGGGGATGCCCTGTGTGCGTCACCTCCCGGAGCCCATGTGGATCCTGCTCCCCCACGAGGGGATCCTGCTCCCCCACGAGGGGGTCCTGCCCTGTGATGGAGGTGACCCCGCACACCAGAGCTCAGG